CAAGAGAATTCGTAGAGAAAAGCAGTAAACAGAAATTGTAGAAATTGATCGAGATTGAAGAAAACTTTACGAAGACCATTCCGAGTTGTAACGATTGTGCCGCTGCAATCGTTACAACGCGAATCCCGAGAACAGGGAGGGGTGTTGGGACGGCTTGTCCAGACTTCCCGAAAGAAATTATAGCGTTATTTCCCCGGATTCCAGAATCCGGAGGGGTCTCGGGAGGAGAACTCAGACTGTATTTTATAAATTTGTAGCTTCCTGGAGATGTCCTGAATTGAATTCAATTAACATCTAATTTCGTTTTTAGATTATGAGAAGCTAGGAGTTAAGAGAAAGGGGGGTTGACCCATGTTCGATGGAGATTATCATTTTTATCTACTGAACAAAAACAATAGGAATATAATAAAGTAGTAGCCCTGTTTTTAGTAGTGACCTCGTGGTCTGGGGATACTGAGACCCAGCCATGAGCTCACTATTGTTGCATTTAATTCAGTCAATTCGATGTAGAGAAAGGCATGTAGAGCTGTGTTTAGACGCTAGCCAGTCGTTTTAGAACCTAGCTTTATTTTCCAATCGATATGTACTTCCGGGCGAATGTTTCAAAACAGGCACAAACATCAAACATAACAAATCCACTTAAAAAAACAAAATTACAAAAGGGGCCCTTCGGTTTAGTTACAGTAAGTGCACAAGCTGGATAGGGCCATACCAGCGATATAAAAATGCATATATATCAGCAATGAAATCATAAATCAGCATTAAATGCATCGTCGTAATGTTAATTTATCTTAGCCCTCCTTCCTCTACAATAGCGCTTATGGAGTTGTCGATAAATTGAACTTTGCGTAGTGATCTGCACTCCCTTATACAAAGTATAGAGCTCCTCAGGAGCGCGAAGCTTATTTTAGTTCTTATGTAGTTTATAGATTCTGGATAGCTTTCTTGTCTTTTTTCACTTAGTTTTTCGGCCAATCGCTGCATCGTCCGCGTGGCTGTTGGAACAGCGCCACCGGTGCATCCCAAAATTAGCGGGCAGAAGCTACTCTGCTCTACGTTTAAAATTCTTTGCTGATATTTGGAGTTCTCCAGTGTTTCGTGGTATTTGTATGCATCCTTATGCAGTTTTCGCGATGTTTTGGCATGGGGGTTGAAAATTTTCACATCAAAGAAAACGCGGCTGAATCGTGAACCCCAGCGTCCGTTTGCCTTAATGTCAAGTCGTGCCTCATCTTCAGTTGTAGTTGAATTGTTGACAAAGCTTTCGCCTTGCAACGGCTGAAGTTTCGGCTCAATCTCGACGTCATGGCAAACCTCGTTCATGAGGTTGGCGAATGTGTCTCTAATTTCATTGTGTCTTATGTGTGTGTAACCAGCCTCTGCACAGTGAAGCGCATGTGTCAAGTTAAAATCAGCACCACATGCACATGTGAGTGGGGTTTTGGCTGGTTCCCATCCGTATCTTTGTAAATACCATCTCTGAACTCTGATTTATTCAGGTTGAAGTTGTATCTGCTCAGTGGTAGAGCATTGAGCCAGTTAGAGGCTCCCTTTTCAGAGGCCAGGTCGATTGCGTATTTATCTGTTTCATTTAAGGAGTTAATGAGGTTTGTTTTTTTTCGATTTGTTCTATCAGTTTTCAGTTTTTTGATTTTCGTACATATTTTTTCTTGCTGTGTTACTGCTGTAATAGGATCTTGAGATTCCAGTACTAGTGATGTTTCCTTAGACCATTCAAGGTAGCTTTCATGATCTGATGGCAGCTTGATGTTAAGTCCGCCCATTTTAAGGGGTAAGGAAGATATCTCACGGAAAAGGGGGGGTTGAAAGTGTCTTTACCGACTAGGTTAGGTTATAATTGTTCTTTGATAATACTTTCACATATTTCTAAGTTTTCCATAGTGTTAGGCGTTGTCCTGGCAAGAAATGAAAACTTTTCTTGAACTCCTTTAGTATAGCAGGCATAAACGTTTTGAGGGGAGGTTTTAGCGATTTTCGTTAGTTTTTTCAAAATTTTGGTTTGCTCATTCTGTTGAAATTCCAGGATTTTTTTACATTCAGATTCTGTTCCTATAACTGAACCAAGCACTCGGGCTCCTGCCTTTATAGTGATTCCTGTATTTGCGAAGATTTTCTGAGCTTCACCGATTTTTTCATCCTTGACAATGAGTTGGCATTTGGATGCTTTCACGTGGTACCCGAAAAACTTACCCAGTGATACTATTTTATCGAGGACGGTTCGTAGATTGCTTAATTTACCGACTGCGTTTCCGTCGTCTGCGTACCATTTCTGGGTTACATCGTCTACTGATAAAAGTTTCATGAGGGGTATTATGGCTAGACCGTACATGGCCATTGCTAGTGGATCCCCCTGGGTTGTCCCTTCTTGAGAGTAGATTGTTTTTTTGTTAACGAATAGTTTAGATGGATTGGAGTAGGAGTTCTTAATCGCTGTTAAAAGGGAAGGGCAGGTATTTTCGATGTTTTTTAATGCCAGCTTTCGGTTCAGCGAGTTGAAAGCGTTTTCGGCATCTATCAGTAGAACAGCATCGGCGGAAGTTTTGCTGTATTGATCTCCTAGCGTGTGGATCGCATATTCAATGCCACATTTTTTTCCTAGGCAGAGTTGGTAGTTTGAACCGAGCGACATTTAGTTCTTGTTCGCCCTATTATCCTACGCATAACTTCTCCTATGACTATGGGTCTTACCCCTGGATTCTTATCTAATGGTATTAATCTGGATGCGTTATATGGTTCCATTAGTTCTGGGTTTAGCTCTTCTGTGGCCAATTTTTTTGGCAATTTTAGCAATTGTTTTTGAAATTTCAACTGATTGTTGCCCGAAGTGTGTTAGAATACGCCTCCATTCATTTGCATCGAGGCCAGATGGTCCATGCAATCCGTGCGTTCTCATGGCTGCCTTCTTGATATGTTGACCGTTTATCTGATCAAATATCAATGGATGGAAAAGAATTGTTTCGTTTGAGACTGGTGTAATATAGTTCTCATCAATTGGTTTAGATGGTGGGTGTTTCTCTATGAGAGTCTGTTCTACTGTCTTACCTTTGACAATCTCGTCGAGCGAAAGAACGCCTTAAGATGTGTCTGTTAGTTTTGCAATTGCGCATGATATTTTTCCAGTACTCATTAGTTTGTTGAACTATTGTACTTCAGTTTCAGTTTTTCTTCTACTTCCTTTCAACACGCGCATTTGCAGCGCCTTTCCTTCTTTATTTAGTCCATCCAGGTCTCCGTCTTGCCATTGCTTAAGTCGCCTTGCTATTGTTTTGGATAAAGATCCATCAATTTTGGACTTTGTTTTGCACAGTAATAAGTGTGGAAAAATCATTGCTGCGTGCATTGCGAAGGTATTTTCGGTGTTTTCTATTAGGCTGTTCAAAGTTCTATTGAGGGTTTCAATGAAGTTATAACTAACTTTATTTTTTGACAAGATCATAAAGACCGGTTTCCAGTGGACCACTTCGGTGTATAATTTCCTGGTAGTTTCTATGTGTTCTGGACAGGGGTTTGACCATGGGTCTTGTATTGCTCTAGGTTCTATAGTGGAAGACTCTCCTGTGTTTTGTGAGTGTGGGGCAGTGGAAGCGTGAGGGTGCATTTGGGGGAGCGTGGTTGTAGCTAGGGTTGGGGGATTGCATTCATGCTTGTCGTTAGCTGAATGAAATTGGGAGGTGCAGCGATGACAACTGAGATCGTCATAGTGATCACTGCTGCGGGCTAGGCCGCTGCATTTTACATGCATGTAGCCCGGGCATGTGAAGCACCAAACACCTCCGCCTCGCAGGCTGCTTTTATAAATAAGGCAGTGTGTTTGAGTAGCCATTTTAGGAAGGACGGCGATGTCAAGTTAGCGAGAGAAATTATAGATTAAATTTGCAAGAAAATTTGTAAAGAAATTATAACCGTAGAACGAGAAATGGATGCCATCACGGCAGAACATTTGAAGGGTTAGATTTAGGTTGAGGTTAGGCGAAACAATAAGTGTATGGGGGTGTACAAATCTATTTATCAAATTAAACAGCACATGATTATAAATATAAATTTTGCGGTTTACTTCGGAATTATTACAGTTCTGAATTGTTTTGGGGATGATCAGTGTCTTGGGCTGAAACTTATTAGTGACGATGTTAATCAAGTTTTTCCACTGCTGTTCTAATTCTTGTGGATGCAGCCTGTTGTCATTGTATCCAGCAACTATTGTTACTGTATTTAGGCGCTTTGGTCTGTATTGTAAAACTGTTTCAAAGAGATCATGAAGCGTTGCGCCGCGGTAGGAGTGAATTGTTGATTTTACTAGAGCTGGTTTGATATATTTGGTCCTTGAAGTCCCGATAGCTAGTTTCTGTGAGAACTCAGGGATGCGTCTTGCCTGGAATCGGGGCATCAACCTGAAACACAGACAACTGTGCCGAGAAAGGAAGCTCTTTGGGGTGATTTATGAATACTTTCACTTAGGGTTTAAAATTGCTGAGGCAAAGGCGATGAATAAAAAAAGGAGTGGTACAACCTGACGTCGATTTGGAGGTCGATTCACCAGCTCACTTCTTCTTGCGTCTAGTTACGCCAGGGAAACTTCACTCGCCTACGGCTGGGACGGCGAGATTTGGTAAGATAACCAGAAGAGGAAAGCCCAACGCGCATATGATATGAAAACACACAAGCGGTAAATTTGAACAAATCCACTTAATAAGTTTATCACAACAATTAGGCTAAAATGATCATGGATCAAAAAAGTATCCTTCATAAAAATCATCGATCATGAAAATATCCGTTCTCTTAGCCATCTCACCACACTGCCCCCCCCCCCCTCCCCGGAATAAGAAAAACGGAATGCGTGCGAAGAAAAAGGTTTTAAAAAATAAAAACTGGTCGGGACGTTCTGCTACTTGCATAGCAATCGACTCCTCTTGTTTTTTTTTTGTTTTTTTTTAAATATCGGAATCAAGTTGAAAGCTTCTTTAATTTATATTTTCAGATGAAAACTATGAATGTTTTTGGTGTTGGCTAACTACATTTAGCAAAATGAGCGTGGAAGAGCTTTACGTCAAGGTATGGCGCCAAAAAATGTTCGTATTTAGTTTCTGACCTCAGTAAGAACCATACAACGACAATATAAATTGTTTTTAGGATGTACAGGTGTGGGTGAAGGATGCCGAGACAGTCTGGAAGCCAGCAGTTATTCGGACTAGTCTAAATGAAGGAAAATTGGTTGTTAGCACATTAGATAAAAATAACGAAATCACATTTGACCTTTCTCAGAAGGATGTAGAGTTACCACCATTGCGCAACCCTGAAATTCTAATTGGCCAGAACGACTTAACATCTCTCAGCTACCTTCACGAACCGGCAGTATTGCATAATTTGAAAGTCAGATTCACTGATAATTACCAGATCTACACATACTGTGGTAAATATTGACGAAATAAGTTTTACTGTTCTAAAATTTATGAGGAAAACGAATGCGGTTGCTATCGGATCGTATTCATAGCGCCGAAAATTAAAAACCTGTAACATTCGTCTACTGTAGTCACACATGAGGCTTAAGAAAAATAGGCCCTATAACCATTGGCTCAAGAGTCAGGGACACTATCTTTTGTGTTTTTGTACCTCAAATCAGTCGGAGCCAATTCGGTTCGCTTGTGACATGAGACTACGACCCGTTACAGCTTAAAGGCTACTACTAAAATATCCCCCCACTCTAGAATTAGAAACGTCCCCATACATAGGTCTCTAGATACCCAAAATACATGAACGCCATTAAAAACCGGGTCGGAACAATCCGTTAAGTTACTTTTTATTAGACAGTGGAACTTTGATCCATTTCAGATGGATCAACCTAAAACTCGCCTCACCTCAACATAACAATCATAAAACACACTCTAGAAATTTAAATTAGTACTCACATTGTAGCACGCTCAAGAACCAGGAAGTAAATAAGTCGGTAAGCAACTCAAGAATCAATAAAGTAACTAAAATGAGTTTAATGTTAGTCAGTTTCAATAACAAGAACAAGTTTTTACTCTAGACTGTAAGTTCTCGTGAACCATTGGGACACTCTAGCTGTCCACCTTTCCACCGAAGGTTCACTCTGGTCCAGTTAATAATAGTACTCCAATCACAACAATCCAGTTCGTGGGAATGCGCTCGTCTCTGTTTCAGATGGGACAGCTCTACTCTCGATTATTATTGCTACTGAAATTGCGAATAGCAATTTCCCACTGATTTTTCTAGCAACTTTCCCGCGATTGTCACTCGATCGTTCTGACTTCTCTTTTCTGATTTTCAGTTATCGCGAGAAAATCGTGCATGACAGGTTCCATTCGAAATTTTGAAAAATTAAATTTCACTCCAAAATCAAGTGTTTTTTGCTTCTCTCAAGGTCAAACTTCCGAATATGACCGACTGGCACATACTCCCCGGACTCGAGATCGATGTCCTCATCGCGTGCTGTCTTCTGCCAGTGAGTCCCAGAAAACCGAGTGTTACTCAAGATACAGTGCCAGCGGTCATTTACAGAAGTTTGCAGCAGACTTAAGCTTATCTACACCCCAAAATTCACAGCCATGTAAAATTTTCACACTATCGCTAAACAGCAATCAAAATCTGCACACACCTGCACCTTTGAATTCTTGCTTTCCAAGCCAATAATTTAAAATTTCTTTTGTCCTACTCAATCAGGAAATTGTCATGCAGCATTTTGATTTATATAATAAATATAGTATATTAATAACAATATTTGCTTTGTTAAAACTTCTTTTTCGTGAATCCAAGTTTCACCCGGATCCACGCTCAAGCCCCCCTGTTCCCTCTCAAGACTCAAGATCCATTCGAGCCACCTGCTCATCTCGCACTCTTCGCCTTGGAGGTACTGCACCCTGAAGTACTAGATACGGCAAACTGTCTCAACAGTTCCTCTTCATCATCGGAGCTAATCACAATCTCCTCCCAAGCCTTCAGCTGCTCGTAGGATCGCATCCATTCTCTTTGCTCTTGCAACCTCTTTGCTTGGTTGGGTAGTGCCTTCACCCTAGATTCCCGGTTCAAACAAAAGGAGTTGTGCAGGCTCAAGCTCACGTGTTTCGCCAGGTCCTCCTCTAGTATCGATTCCCTCGCCTTGGTATTGTCTCTAGACATTTTACCCACTCTCTTCCATCCTGTCGTGATTGCATTAGGATGGGTTAACAGGGGTCTCTTGAAAGCTTCCGGCCCAATCTCGGCCTGGAACTGTCGATACTCTTTTCGATGTTTTCTCATGTGATCTTTCGTTGTCATGTACAACCAGGACGTCAGCGTCGCCCGAAACCATGGGAAGTACCTCAAACGGCTCCAGACATGTCTGACTTCCGTTGGTATGGCGAATACCTTGCACGCAGTCTCAAACAACTCGAGTCTCCTACTGTAGTCTATCGCGTATATTGACTCAGCCGTTGGCGTCCCCGCTTCCCGATACTTCGTTAGATTCTCTTCTATCCATCTCAGAGCCAACATCGTACTCACTACCAAGATCGTCACCTTCTGTCGGTGATCCGGTAGTCCGATCGACCGGATTTCTTCCATATCCCACACCAGGCAAAGGTTCTTGTGATCTGGATACCACACCGTTTGCGCTAAACAGTGGCATGGGCATTCTCCATGGGTGATTTCAATGCTCCTGAGGTTACGCTCCCCCGAGGCTTCCAAGAGAGGCTCAAGCTCCATCATTTTCTCATGCATCGTGTCGTTATCTTCCAGGTTTGGAGCACTTCCCACAGGTTTTCCGATCACGTTTTGTCTCTCGTGATCGCTTGTGTTCTCTCTCTCCAACTTCAAAAGTTCTTCTCCCCAGATTTCACTCAAGTCATCTCTCAATTCTTTTGGTACTGTCCCTCTGATTTTTCTCAACAACTTGTGCGAGTGATGCGATATCCGAGCCAACCTCACGCACTTGGGCACTGAGAAGGCCTTGTCCACCAGTACTCTCTGGCTGGATGCTTCCACCATCACCATGTGCAGTGGGTAGTGACTTCCGCACAAGTTGGCCATCATTGACCCTATCAGCGATTTCGCGTTCAATGGCAAGCCATAAGCTTCGCTCATGGGAAATCCCATTTCCGCCTCGAGACCAACCTTCCAGCTCCGGATGTGTTTTTGAGTCACCTGCAACACCCCGGGCCATGATTCTACGCTCAACGCCGTCACTAAATGATGTTCAGATTCTAGTCTTTCCAGTGACTGCAGACTACACATTCTCGAGAAGAATCCGAGAGCTGTCGCTATATTCACCGTGGTTCTCGCGTAACACTCCGCTACTATTTGCACTTCACTTTTCTCCCTTTCTGTTATGTCTTCGAACCAAGTGACCAGGTCTTCTTTTTGAAATGACAGTATTCTAACGCATGACCGTCCATCGCAGGTGTGCTCTCCGTTTCCACACGTCGAATCCAGACAGCTACCCGGCTCCAATTTCTTTGCTGACCCGGGATTACTAGTCTTTCGCCTGGCTCTTGCATCTGAGGTGAAATTAGCTTATGCAGCACACTCAACTTTGCCAGATCTTCATCTTCCGTTGGTGCTAACCTCACTCGCTCGGTGGTTTCCTCGATCAGACTCGCGTGGGGATGTGGACACCAGGAGGGTCTTAATAGCTTCCACACCACTCCCAAGTTCGTGGTTAACAAGCCATTTCCATCGCCCATGTTCACTTCAACTCTCTTGTTTGAACGCGTTATGCTCACCACCTCTGGTGTTTTCTCAAGAATCAGGCCCAGGCTCGGCCCCTCTTTTTCCACCGCGTCTATTTTCATTATTCTTTCTGTCCAAAACTTCAGTAGCTCCGCTACCTCATGGTTCCTGTGGGCGCCTCCAGCTTCCGAGTCTAAGAAGGGGTTGTAGGCCATTCCCATCACTCCAGACACATATTGGTATTCCCCGTTCTCGCTGAGCCTCGAGTACTGCTCTGACGAGGCCAGGTTACGGTGAACATCATGTTTTTCTTCGAACTTCTTATTATAAAACCTCCGCACCTCGTCTAGCTTCCTATGGTTCTCTAGGGATAGTCTGGAACCCTCTTCCTTTTCTATTCCTGTGCTCTGATACACGTTCAAGATGACCGTTGAGACTCTTTTTTCCATGGTTTTGCTTACGCTTGCTCTCTGTTGGCATGCCAGGATGGTGCTATCAGACATCATCGACATTATCCATCTCAAGAAACACGTGGCGTCCTTTCTTCTAGCTAGGCTCAAGCCTGAATTATCCCTGGCTACGTGTTGCATCAGTGCCTGATACACATCTAGCTTCTTGCTTCCCAACTTCAGCCTGTCATACGAGGTCAGCGTTTCCAACTCTATCCCCACCAGACTCCAGGTGAACATTAATTGTCCTGCAGTTCTAACGAAGGGATTCGCCATTAATGGTGGTGCTGATGAGGGTGTCCTCATTGCTTCTTCAAAATGATCCTTCAACAAACTCTGCCAGGACCTCTTCAGATGAGTTGCCATTTCTATTTTATTAACCTCGGCCTTTTGCTGGGTGGCCCAATTGCGTCGCTTGCGAGCTACTCCACTGTCCAACTTCTTCCAGCAGTCCTCCATTTCTTTCAATGTTTCAAGGGCCACCCACCACGCCCGGGAGGTGTTCCTCGTCTTGTTCCTCTCCAATGGATCACTTGTCACTCGCTTGCCCGTGGCCTGGTGTGCCTTCGAGATCCATTCTTTGCCGACATCTACTTCCCATGTCTGTCCGTTCGTTGAACCTCTCTTCACGTTTATCTTCTGAGGCTTGAAGTCTTCCTCCGATGTCGAACTGGTGGAAACCTCTATTTCCCTCTCTACTTCAAGTGGTCTTCTGAGCTCCGAGCTGCTCTTGTATGCCGCCGTCTTGCATCGAGCCAAAATCATGGGCGCCGTCTCTCTCAAGTTTCCTTCCGAAACAGCATCCACTGAAGGACTACCCAATCCTTCCACTTCTCTCTTCCTCTTGCGAGTCTTCACATCTCTACTTGAGGGTGTTGTGGCTACCATCACTGATTCGACCTCTCCATCCACTCCTTCCAACTCTTGCCTCCCCCCTGCTCGAGCCTTAAGGATATTAGTACTTTTAATCATATTACTAGTCCCAACCTTATCCCTTTTTATATCATCAACCATTTTATCTACAGTTTTTTGTCTCCGAGTAGAGCTGTCCTCACATTTTTCTTCTCTAGTCTTCGATCGTGAATTCCTCAGCTCTACCAGCTTGCTCAGTAGCTCTTTTCTCGCCTTCTCATCCAGGCCCGTTCCTATCAGAAGCGGTTCTCCAAATCTTACGACTGTGTCCCACAGTTCCTCCTTGAATTTGTCCAGCGTCGTCTCGCTGCCCACTTCTTGATTGAATTCTTCCAAGAACTCCTGCCAAGCATCGTCCTTCAGGGATCCCAGGAATATGTCCCTG